GTTGGTTTGACAGATACTAGGGTAGGATCAAATGATGATCCACTGTAGAGAGCTCTAGAGGACGTCGTGTTTCCCACACAATAAACATGAAGATGGATTTGACTGATTTTCTTTATTGCGATAGATTGTGGGAATTGTGACTTGACTTTGTACTTTTTAAGCATATTTAGAGGAAAAATAAAAACTGATCGGTTAAATCAGCACTGTAGACATTTTTAAACGCACTTTCTTAGCGTGAGAAAATAATATAGACTGAGACTGAGAAATAAAATGTAACCACGCATATATGAGCGTGTTTTTGTAAACTGTTTGCCCTCCAGCTGTTGTTACTGTTGCACACCGGCAGCTAGCAGAGGCTGACAGGTGGCCGGCTGTCGGAGAGCAGTCGCCAGCCGTGACGTCTGTCGCTCAGCCGTCAGCCCCGCAGACATACAGAGGACATGTTCACTGCTATCATGCCCCTCTGAGCTCCAGCAGCGGCTGACAGCCGGACAACAGCTCTGCTGCATTCATTCTGCTTTCACTCTGCTGGCTAATGCTAACCCTGCTAGCTTAGCTAAGGCGACGCGTCAGCGACGGAAACGAGCGGAAGCTGTGAGCAGGCTCGAGTTTAAATACATTCTCAAAATGCAGCAGCCGCGCTCAGGTTAAAGCTTACCTGTCACACTCGCCTTCGTGACCCTCTGAATGATAGCTTTCATTGTTGTGGTTGTGTTGAGGAACACGCTGTCACAACTTCCGGGAATCAACAGAGCGCACGGCACGATGTCTCCCCCTGGTGGTTGAAACCGGTAACACGGGTCCTGAGATTCAAGCGTACAGGGAGGAATTTATTAAAGCCCACGCGAGACTTTTACAGCTGACAGTTTTTACTGCGAGCTGTCAGAGTGGATAAAGCAGGAGTGAAATTAATAAAACCTTAGTTAAGTTAAGTGTCCCAGGAAACCGTGAAGGTGAACCTGCATGCACACATGCTGCACCTAAGGGGAGTACAGCCTACTTTAATAGACAGATAGATGCTTTATTGATCCCACAAGGTTAAACTTTTGTGTTACAGCAGCATGATAAAGAATAAAATCGTACAGTGTA